ATAACACTCTTTCTAATATATTTCTCTTAATACATTTATTCTCATTAATTAGAGAATTTATTGAAAATTATGGAATTAAGAGAGAAAGTTGTTAAATAAGACATTAGATTTATTACATTTTATGTTTTACAATACATTTTAACTAATTAAATAGTGTGTTATTTGTATTTCTCTTTTTAAAATTATAAAGTGTATGGATGAATAAAAGCATCTAATAAAAATGAAAATTAAATGGTAGTTATCATAATATGTATCCATTTTATAATATATATATATATATATAAGTTACGAGTGTGTTTGAATATTCATTCACACACATTCTAATGTATACAAACATAAGAATGAGTGCGGATGGATTGAATTTTGTTTGAATACTTATCCACACACATTTAGATATATTCAAACTAAAAAAATGTAAGAATGAGTGAATTGAATTAAACGCACGTTTGTCTAAAAATAAACATGGTTTACATCTTTCAACTTTTGTTACTAATTTGATTATACTTTTTTTTTTAAAAAAAAATGTAATTATCAAACCATGATATATATTATTTTGAGTAAATTTTATAGCAATTAAGAAATTTAGTTTTTTTTTATAGAGTTAATAAATTTATATTAAAATACTTTTTTAATCCATATAATTTTACTTACTTTATTTTTTAATTTTTTATAATTTAAAAAATATATTTTTAGTCTCCTTATTTATCTTTTTTTTTAATATGTTTTAGTTCTTATAGTTTAATATATATATTTTTAATCCTTTACTTTCAATTTTTTAATTCTTATTCTTTATTTTTAATTTCTTTATAACATTGACTTTTTTATGTTGATTTGACAAATGTATTTAACACAAAAATTGAAGACATTTATCACATGTGTTCAAAAGAAACAATATTACAAAAAATTGATATGGACTAAGAAAAGATAAGTAAAGAAATTAAAAAGATATATATTAAACTATAGAGATTAAAAATAAATAATAAAGATAAATATAAAATTAAAGATATCTATTTTAAACTATAAAAACTATAAACCCCAAGCGTGTGGTTCAGCGGTAGGGGTTGATCCACGCTTAAGCAAGGTCAGGGGTTCGAATTCTGTCTTGTGTATGCAGCCGCGTTAAATCTTGGGGTCAGCTATCTCACCCTTTGAGGTGCTTCCAACGTAGCGAGGAGATTAGTCACTGCTGTCGGCGGTGGATACTCCAGGGACGAACAAAAAAAAAAAAAAACTATAAAAACTATAATGTAAAGTAAATAAAATTATAGGGACTAAAAAAAATATTTTAACCGTAAATTTATTATATATGAAAAAAATTTATTGATTAATAGTATATAAAATCTTTAGACAGTTTTGTATATATATCATTTTCTCCTTATTTAATATTTTAAATATATAAAAGTAATTGATTGTTTTCACTTAATAAGTAAAAATTAATAAAAATAAATGTTGTAATACGATTTGGGTTACGCTAATCAGTGTCCCAAGATCATTAAATAAGAAATAAATAAATAAATAAATATACGTTAGGGTTGCATTAGAATTTAAGAGCGAGTGCACCATTACAATTTTCTAATAAAAAAACTATTTTAAATTCTTTAATTAACTCTTTTAGATATTGGTTAACATTTTCTTTATAAGATTTACATTTTTTTTAATCTTAAAATTAGGGAGTTTATCCTCAACAGTCAACAGTCAACAGTCAACACCTTCGGTTTTCAGTTATCAATTTGTAAATAAGAGCATGCTTCAAAGTTGCTATAGTTTTATTGTTAATTGAGATTAAATTGTTTTTGGACTAATGAACACATCTCACATTAAACTAACTAATTTAATACCCCAATTCAATATTTAAAGAAAAGTTAAATACAAATTATTATTCAACGAGATAATGACATGATATTTAGGAGAACCAATATAATTGCTTAATATTCTGTTACTTTGAAGCAATTGATTTAATTAACCGCTTCCTTTGTTTTGTTGATATCTGCCCTTGGGTTTACTACGATTGTTATAGATTAATTGGTATTAATATTAAGATTTATTAGTAGATTCCTCGTACTACGTTAATTTTTCCACTAAGATACTTGGGAGAGAAAAATGTTAAATGTAACTCGTATGAACTTTATTTGTATCTTATCTCTAGAAAAGTAACATCCAAATATGCTTTATGATGTAGTCATTCTATGGTTGTGCAAAGAAGCTTATGAAGAAATAAAGACATCCAAACTACAGCCATTAACAACTTTAAGTGTTGCATGACATTGACATGTGAATTAAAAAAAGTTTAAAGCATCTTCAAGTGCCACAGGCCCACAGATAACGGTAGCATTTCTTTAAGTAGAAAAAAGAATGCAGAAAGAACAAGGTGCCCTACCCAATTTCAGCATTGAGTGAACTGGGTTAGACTTTTACATTATTATTACATCTCTAACCCTAACAAAGAAAAGAACAAACTTCCACCGTCAACATCTAAGTTAACCGTTATAAGGTAAAATTTTCGCTAATGTTAGTAAAAAGAAACTGATACTAAGATAATACTATAATGGCCTAGAATTACTATACTATATTTAGTTATCGTGTCCTTCTGAAAAATTTACCACCTTTCTTTCCCATGGTTGTCCCCGCAAGACTTGAAGGAAGAAGTGATTTGGTATCTGGGCTCCATCTCAACTCCTTGAGAGTGGTAAACAAGGTTGCGAGCGCAGGAGATATCTCATTATCCTTTATATTCTTACATGACACTACTCTAAGGCGTTGAAGCTCCTTCCATGAATGAATCACAGACTCCAAACCATCTGTTGTTATCAATGAGCAACCTTCTAAGTATAACAATTTCACGCGCCTGAAATAGAGAAACAACCATCAATTCATACATAATAATAAATCCCAAATTATTCCATCCGGTTGGAGCACTTCCATAATCCACATAGCTTTTTTACTCACAACAGCAAAACAATATTAAAAAAGATAACAAATATGTAACTACAAAAGCTACAAGTAGAGTCTATTTGAATACAATTTTAGAAGTGTTTTTGAAAATTTCTCTCCTAGAAAAAAGCTCATTATTTTTCAACAGAGAAACTCTTAAAATCACATGTAACTTGTATCTAAACACACTCATAGTAGTAAATAGTGATAGTAACAATTCCTTCCTAACAGACTCTTCTATTGGTTAAAATAGGTTTAAATACCCTTTTGGTCCATGGTCTAATAAACTTTACCTTTTAGTCTATATAATTAAAAATATTTTATTTTAGTATATATAGTTTGTATTTCCTTTCGGTCTCCATAGTTTCACAAATTTTACTTTTTAGCTCGTGTAATAATAAATAACAGAGACTTAAAAAATACAAAAATGGTATGTATAGGACCTAAAATAGAATATTTTTAACTGGAGAGACTAAAAGTAATAAAGTTCATGCAACGGATCAAAAGAGTACTTAAACCAAATAGTGAAACCCACAGAAATTTGTGATTTTTGATAAACTTCAGGTTACAATATATATAGCACATTACAAATTGTGTTGCTAGTAACTCTAGTATTTGAAGGATCATTTCACAGTAATATCATTCCAAGCATATTGAACCCATAAATTATTAACGAATTACAAACTTCCTAAGATTTCCTTTGCAAGTTCATTTGAAGACCATCTAAAGAAAAATATACAAAACACCAACATTACCTGCATGTTATTGCAAGACTGAAAATGCCATCATCGAAACCCCAGCAATCCTGAAGAACAACCTCCCTAACATTCCTGCACACAGAGAACAAAGCCGCAACGCTCTTCTTATCCCGCAACAGACATTTCTCCAAATGCAAGCGTTCAAGCGCAGAGCAAGAACCCAAATACTCCTCCATACCCGGATTGGAATCAATTCGCTTGCAAGACACAATCCTCAAAGTCTTCAAATTCTCACAGAATGAGAGAGCCGCGAGCCACCCATCATCCATTCTGTGATCAGAAAAAGTCAATTCCTCCAACATTTGGCAGCATTTCCCAATTGCCTTAACCCCATCAAAGCTCCCTTCACAGCCACTAAGCTCCAATTTCACAAGACGCTTACACCCCTGAGCCAGAATGGTCAACCCAATATCGGAAACCACCGAATTGTAGAATCCATCCACATGTCCCACGAGTTTCAGGATCTGGAGATTCCGGCAGGCGGCGATGCCGCGCAAGACGGCATCGCTGCAGCGCTGGAGCTCCAGGTCCTGCAGCGTGGGGCAGTCCTCGGCGACGCTGAGGACCCCCATCTCGGAGGCGCCGATGAGGCGGAGGCGGCGGAGGTTGGGGCAGGCGGCGGCGAGGGAGGCGAGGCCGGTGTCGATGACCTCGACGGGGAGCATGGCGTCCTCGCAGAAGCACCAGTTGGGGGAAGTGGCTGCGGTGAGGTGCACGGTGAGGACGCGGTTGCTGAGGAGGATGCCGGAGTTGCGAGGGGAGACGAAGGTGGCGGAGGTGAGGTCGACGTGGTTGAGATTTGGGAAGCGGTGGATGAGTCTGCCGGAGAGGAGGAAGTTCCAGTCGGAGATTGCGAGCGAGCGGAGGAGGCGGCCCTGGAGGTTGAGCCACCGCTTGCAGACGAGTGAGTTGGCGTTGCGCTGCGTTTGGGAATCGGAGATCGCGGCGAGGATTTTCAGGAGAAGCTCGTCGGAGAGGAGGAGGGTTCTGTCGGCGATGGCGAGGGGGGACTGAAGCTTCATCGCCATCACCATTTCGGTTAGGGGTTTTGATCTTAACCATATGTCCGACCATCGCTTCTTCGACGGAGGAGTGGGACTAGGGTTTGGGTTTGGGTTAGGGTTTGGGTTCTGATTTTCCGATCGGAACGACATCGAGTCTTGTATCTGTTTGTGTTAATTACTGAATGGATGAATTGAAGTGTTTGGTTTTGTTTTGATGCCAACGGAAATGTTTGTTGAATGATGAGCGTCTCTTTCTCTCTCTCTCTCTGTGGGACTCAGATTTTGAATATTTGCGATCTTATGAATGCGCCTTTTTGTTTTCTTGTGGATACTTCTAACGGCACATTACATAACAGACAAAATGCCTCTTTTTTCTTTTTTTCTGTAAAAACTAAAAAGGGAATGTTATAGTGATATGTGTGAATATCAGAAACTGTGATTTGGATTGAATTGGTGAGGGAGGGAAACATGTTCCCAAGTCATCATCCATGGTGTTAAATTAGTGAAAGAATCACTGAATTTTTCAGCTTCTGTTTATTCAAATTTGTTGTTTTTGTTACTTATTTTAAGGTAGAAAAACAAAAGGTGGGTATTTTGCTATAAATTATGGTTTTGACTTAGTAAAACAAAGTAACGGCCGGGTTAAGCAGTTTAAGAGTAATTGTTTTTTTTTTTTTGGTAGTTTGTAATTGTTAGGTCTTTAAAAAGAACAATATATTACATATATTTTGTCAGATTTCTTAATCCGTTCTTTTTAAACATTCGAGGAGTTATTGTTTCGTTAACAATTTCATTTAGCACTAAAATTATCATTATGACTCTTGACTCAACCAAATATGAATAGAAAGAAAAATATTTTAATAAATAAAAATATAATAATTTCCTATTTTTTTTAATAAATCACTTCATATAATAATTTTAAATTTTTAAGATATTATTCAAATATAGAAAAATATTATATCTTTCAAATATAGTTTAGAATTAAAATATTTATACTTATTTTAAAGATTTATTTCTTCTTTTAAGATTATTACTCAACCTATGTAGTGTTATAAGAAAAAAGATTTACCAAGTTTATGATTTAGGGTTTCTAAGCTTCATCTACAAAATTTGTGAGAAAAATTTTTCAAGTTTTATCCGTAAAATTTATAAGAAAATTTTCATAAACATATATTGTATATTTTGAGATAATAAGCATTTTTGTGAACGCAATTATAAGAGTAAAATCATATTAAATAAATTGTGTGATTTTTCTTTAATCTTTTATGACATTTTTGTTTGTTCATTCATGCATAAATAAAAATTGTACATATTAACATACCATAGGTTAATAGAAAAAGTTTAAAAGGTTACTTAAACGCATAGATAAAAAATTATAGAGCTATTATTAACTTGCAAACAAAATTCATTTTCTACTTATTTAATAGTGTAAAACATCATTCAGGTTCTTAAAAATATATGTTATTGACACTTTAGTTCTTGAAAGTATAAAAATATAAAATAAGTCCCAAAAAATGTAAAATGATACTCACTTTGCTAGAATCATTCCCAAGGGTTTAATTCTAAAGGAGTTAAGGGGATGAGTTAGGCTTGAAAGTACAAAGTCCAAGCTCTTTATTAAGTATTGGATTATTTTTAGTCCATTTTCTTTTACTTGTAAACATTTTTCTTGTACATATTCTTTTATTTTTGTCTTTGTATAATGAGCCAAGTAGCATAGGATTTAATTTCCATGCATTTCTTTTGTGTAACTAGTAGGTACATCTAATGAATGATCCATATAACTAATGGGATTAACTTTGGGCCCATATGAGGCATCACCATGTGGAGGGTGGATGTCCATAATTAGCTAAGTTAATTTAAATTAATCACGTGTGTCATTAGATAGTCACACCATCCTTACTTGCCACATGATACCTTCTTTATAGCATATTAAGACACATGACACACAGAGCTAGAAGTTAGACATCCAATTTGAATTTCAAATTCAAAGTTAGCACACCTAGCTACCTAGGGTTAAGCAACTATGGTTTCTTTTCTAACCTTGATTGCTTCATTTACTCCTTAAGCTACCTAGTTCTATTTAAGCTTTTTCCCTTCATTTTATGCATTACTTTTGGAGTATATTTGAGTTTGAATTAAGAAATTTTGTCTCCCAAAAGTCTTGTTCTCTCTTTGAAATTCGTACTATTTATAATCTTTCATCAAGAAATTTTTCATTGTGGCAAGATCTTCCATTCTTGTTTATCCTTCCTTTGAAGGTGGCACACCCCCATTCCTTGGCTCTACATCATATTTTGTTTATTTTCTTATCAACTTGAAATCATGGATGAAGATCAAAGAAGTTAGGACTCAAGGATAATGGAATGGGCAATCATTCACCCCTTTGATTCCATCACACTTTAGTGAAAAATTTAAAAAAAATGTGACTTAAATGATAATATTAATGTATATTTAGGGATTAAAATGATAATAAGTAGTTATTTTTAGGAACATAAATGAAACAACTAGAACTTTTAATGACTTATACATAATTTCCTTGTTATCAAAGACTAAAGTGCTAGCAATATACACTTTTAGGAGCCTAAATGACGTTTTACCCTATTTAATATTAAGAGAAAGAACATGTATTTCTTTCAAAGATCAAAATGGATAACTTCAAATAAATAAATAAAAAGTCATACAATACTTAGCATCTAACTTAAAACATATCAATATTGATTTATACAAGTGGTAACATCTTGTGTGTCTTTATTCAATGTTCAAATCTTAATCTTAGGTACATAATATACTATGTTAGGAGGAGAATATATACTTTATATGCGTTCACGATCCTAGACGAAAATTAATCATGCTTTCGATAATGAATACTTCATACTAATATTGTGGTTAAAAAAAAGAGATACTTAAGTTTTTACTATATTTATGTACTTAAGTATATTTAATGGCTAAGTAAACACCTAATTTAGTCTCTGAATTTGTATAACACCATCATATTAATCTTTAAAATTAAGAAATTGTCAAATAAGTTCTTAAAGTGTCAAATAAGTCAATAAATTTAATTATTTATTATTTTTTTAGTCCTTGAATATATATTAATATTATCATTTTAATTACACATATTTTTAAATTTTTGAACTAACATGATTGGGAATGTTGCACTTTTATGAACATATTTAACAATTTGTTGATTTCAAATACTAATATGATAACGTTTTTCAAATTCATCAACTAATTTGAGTGTTTACTCTTTAATATATAATTGTTGTACATATATGATATTCCAAAATAAAATGAGATCTAGAAATATTGTTATTTTGATTACATTAAATTAATTTAATTAATTAAGGAAACCTTATCTGAAAAAGATAGTTTTTCATATTTCAAATTGAAATTTGATTCTGTCATTAAAATCTTACCGTTACAAATCCGAATTAATTTTCTTTAATTATCCAGATTTATTATTTTAATTAATTCGGGTTAATTACTTTAAACGGTCAGATCCTATTAGGGTTTTTGAGACTCTATACATACAGGACACGACAATTTTAATTAAGAGGAACCTGAATGCTTTTCTCTACCTCTCTCTGAGTTCTCATAGTCTTCGACTGCCAGTTCTGCTCCTTGTTACTGAGACGACCCTGTTGTATCCTGGGGGGCTTGCGCGTATACCGCGAATAAGTCCTTAAGGTCAGTGCCATCACACGCCTCAGGGAGAATTTTACTAACGCCGTTGTTCAGTGTTTCAGGTTCCAGGTTTATACGACTTGCGTCCGCCAATTTGATACAACAATAATATGGTGAAGTTTCATTTTAACTTTTTATTATATATTATATAAATGAAAAGTTAAACTAGATTATTTAAGTCTTTATTTTCTAATTATTTAAAAAATCATTAATTTAATTCTTCCAAAATATGAAATACCTATCATTTTTTCTATTATGTTACTATTTTCATTTTTCTTAAAAATATTAATGAAATAAAAAATATTTAAATAACCAATTTGCTGATAGGAATATTTAGAGCAGTATTGTTCGACCACACTAATTTTTATGGTCATTACCACACTAATATTTGAGGTTAGATGATTGACTTAACAAAAATAAATGATCAATAACTATCATTAATTAAATTGTTTGAAATAAGATAATATAATGAATCTTAACGGAATGCAGACATAACATTTTACTCAATAATTTATAAAACTATTTCGCTCTTTCATTTATATTCAACTAGTATTTTCTAGTACTTTAAAATGTGAGTTTTTTACACAAATAATACTATTTAAAAAAAAATTACCTAAATAGCATTTGTGCAAATTTATTTCTCCAACTAGCATCATTTACTATTCAGGTTCAGAACGGGTCGTTCTAGATTAAAAAATAACACATGACGAATGAATTAGAATGGACCATTCTGGATTTAAAATTAGCACATAAAAAGTGGAACCAGAACGGGCCGTTCTGAATCCGGGACGACCGTTCTGGCCTATAAATAAAAAAATTTGTTCGATTTTTACTTATCAAATACCAAAACTCAGAAGCTAACATCAAATAATTAAATTTATTGAATATTAACATTATAAATATAACTAAATAAATTTATTAAAATTCAATACAACAATAAAGATCAATGGTAGCTGAAACTGAATTCATGACCAATATTTGGATTTGTCTTCCTAGTGTGACCAGGGGTGTGACCATGCGAGCAAGGGATATGAACTTTCTGGAACTTACCGCAATCGCACCACATTATATTTAGCTTCCCAGCGGGTCATGCGAGCAAGGGATATGAACTTTTTGGAACTTGCTGCAATCATACCACATTTCATTTAACCTTATCGTAAATCTCCAGAGGGTCATGCGAGCAAGGGATATGATTTAGCCTTACATAAATTCAGAACTCAAGAGAACTTTCAAGGGTCGGCCAAAGTCCAGCAGGATTAGAACAGATATGGACATTAGAGAACAATATAATCGTGTAAAAAATTGTTCCTATTGTCACACTCCTGGTCACACTAGGAAGACATATCCAAATATTGGTCATGAATTCATTTTCTGCCACCATTAATTTTTATTATTGTAATGAATTTTAATAAATTTATTTAGTTATATTTATAATGTTAATATTTAATAAATTTAATCACTTGATGTTTGAGTTTTGGTATTTGATAAGTGAAAATAAAAAAAAATGATATGAATTTGTAGGTCAGAATGACCCATTTCAGATTCAGAACGACCCATTTTGGATCTACTTTTTGTGTGCTAATTTTGAATTTGGAACGGCCCATTCTGATCCATTCTCCATGTGTTATTTTTTAATCTGGAACGGCCCATTGTGGTTTCAGAATGGTAAATAGTGCTAGTTGGGAAAATAAATTTGCACAGTTGATATGTGGGTAATTTTTTTTTTAGTATATTTGAGTAAAAAATTCTTAAAATGTAGAGACTAAATATTTATTGTAAATAAAATTTATAATAAATTATATATAAAATAAATCTTATATTTAATTATATAAATCATGTTTAAAATTTGTATAAACAAATACTTTAAGCACATAAATTATATTTTAAATTTATAATAAATAATTTATATTGTAGTACAAAATTATTTTTATTTAAAAATTAAATTAGATATAAGAAGTTATAAAAATTCATACTCTAAACATTCTCTGGTCCAGTGCGGTGGAGGTAGAGAATAACTTCCCATTTGAAAAGCAAATGTTATCAATGCGAAGCACTTTCCTGGAATACATATATTTTGAGGAGGAACAACTTCAAACATAATTTTGTCTATTTACACTACATAAATAAAATGTGATTCAAAAAATAAACATGCCCTGACAACAAAATAAAAGAGTATATAATTATGAGATGTTGGATAAAAGAATACATTTTCATAGGGATTCCAGATGCCATAAACAAACGATTCAAGTACATGGAGCGGCCATTTGCATCTTCTTTACCTCACCATGCTGAACAATTACACAACACAACAGTCAAGATTCTAATTGAAATTAATTCTCTATTCACACACTCTCTCCCTTCACATAATTTTCTCACCCTTTCTCTGCCACCTCATCATTCTTTCTCTACCTCTTCTAATTCTTCCCAACATAGACTCTCCACGCAGTGGCCTGATGCCTGCTGCTGTGTAATCTGACCAATTGGGGCCATATCCTCATTTAGAGTCCCAACAAACACTTCTATCAATGAAAATGGAAACCAAATAAATTACCACTCTCTCCCTTCACATAATTTTCTCACCCTTTCTCTGCCACCTCATCATTCTTTCTCTACCTCTTCTAATTCTTCCCAACATAGACTCTCCACGCAGTGGCCTGATGCCTGCTGCTGTGTAATCTGACCAATTGGGGCCATATCCTCATTTAGAGTCCCAACAAACACTTCTATCAATGAAAATGGAAACCAAATAAATTACCACTCTCTCCCTTCACATAATTTTCTCACCCTTTCTCTGCCACCTCATCATTCTTTCTCTACCTCTTCTAATTCTTCCCAACATAGACTCTCCACGCAGTGGCCTGATGCCTGCTGCTGTGTAATCTGACCAATTGGGGCCATATCCTCATTTAGAGTCCCAACAAACACTTCTATCAATGAAAATGGAAACCAAATAAATTACCATACTACGACTAGTCAAATATTTAGCAAGACCAAAACATATGTCACAACTTATCCCCCTTGAAATACATTTAATAATTTGCCATTATGAACTTGTCCAGATTTCAAGTATTCAATGCACAAGGCACTAGCAGTTCTTGCCAAAATGAGCATCATAAACAAACACCCGATGAAATTCCTAGCTTTCATTTTCTACTGTATACAATATTTGTTTCATGTTAAGAATACAGTATGGAATGTGATATTCTCAAGCCACAAAGGAAAGTTCATATCGTATTAAGTATTAATTGATGAAAACTTCCCCAAGAGATAAGCGCATAGGCTAACATATCAGTTGTTGATCAATCTTAGCCTGGAAGGTAGGTATCAGATTCTTCAACTTTTCAATCTTTATATTTTGTTCCTCTAGTTGATTGTCCACACCATAAATCCATGACCATGCAAGTTTCTTCATTAATAGTTGAACCTGTATGGATATTTGTTCAACATGTTCCATAGTTCTAATTTTAACTTGCAGCTCGTTAAGCTCCTTCTCTACGGGCCTTATTGCAGTCTCTAATTCTTCAACTATATCGTGTGCAGCAATTATTTCCTTGGAAATGCTTTTCCTAAGATCATTGACTTGCTGAAGATGCGTGGCCTTGTAAAAAAACCGTTTAATAAAGTGTCAGCATTGCTTCTTAAAAAGGTTTATTGAAACAATAACATCAACAAGAAGAGACAACCTTAAATTTATCTTTGTTATTCCCAGAATGCAAAAATTCTCTGCTTTTGTCTTGACTCGTAATTACACAAGGAATCTCCACATTAATCTGCAACATAAATAGATTCAAGAAAATTCGCAAGAAAAAAGAATCACTGAAAAAGGAAGTAAAACCATTGCTGAAGAATTATCTGATATTAGGTTAAGGCAGTAATAGGAAATGCAATATTTAGCCATACATATGCAACAAAGTAATTTACTCAATGAATTCAATTAAGAATATATCACTAATCATGAGCTACACACAACTCAAAAGTACATTAGTTCTGCCATACATCCACCTTCATAGATATAACTAAGAAACTGAGTCTACCAAAATTAATACCTTCTAAAAAAATCATCAAGCTAAAATGCAGCAAAGTATAACAAGTTCAAAAGATGTCACATTGATATGAGATAGAACATTCAAAAAAGCAGTGTTTCAACAATTTCTAGAAGATCTGCTTTCCGACTGAGAACTTCCCTTCCTGTCAAGAAACCCAGATATAGAACATCATAGTGAATAAATAAAGCATCCTTGACTACAATTTATAAGAAGTATTATCCAAGGGGTTGATAAATTACTCTAACATAATCATCCCATTGCAAATTTTCCACCAGGTGGACAATTAACCACATTTAAGCCACATATTTGACATTGTAATTAAACTAATGGGCTCTATATCTTTTGAAAATTAATCAGTTGTCAACTAACATATTATAGCAATAAAAAACTTAGAACTGAAAACAACTATAAACACAGGAAACACACTTTGGTGGTCTTTTAGTGTTGTAGAACTTGTTGATTCAGATATCCTACATCTTACAATGATAACATCACCATATATGTCAGGCTTGAAAAAATCCTCTCCTTCACTTTGAATTTCAACTTGCATGACAGCATTACTAGAAGAGATTAAAATAAACAAAGAACTATGTAAAAACATTATATTGGGTATTTTCATTAGCAAATCTGTCAGCATTCAGCAATGCGAACTAAGATGTTAGCTTGGTTCTTTCTTTCAATAAAAAAAAAAAGAGAGTAACAAATAGTCGTAGCAAAGGATGTGAGAAGAAAAAATTTAATCCTAATTCACCAATAATATAAATCACTTCACAAGTCTTATCATTTAAAAATTACAAAATAACCTATAAATACAGAAATGTTGACAATCACTAGACTCAAACCATTTTTAGATGTTAGTACCACTCATTTATATTCTAGTTTGGAACAAGAGTCTGGAGCCTTGATTCTTCAGGATCCATCCTATTAAAATGTTAGTGCGTAGGAGACCAATGTACTGCAGTTAAGTCTAAGAACTTTTCATTCCTTAACTAACATGAGGTATATGGTTAGATGACAGGTGACAGTTATGTGTTGAGTTAGTTACGACATAAAAATAGCTGGTATATCGAACTACCAAATTATAATCAGTTCAATCAATAGACCAGAAATTCATTTTCTCTCTTTTTCTGTAAAAGTTTAAACATGGCATCAAGAGTTAGGCTTCTTGATCGACAACAGCCACCAAAGGCTTGCATCTGAAATCTGATACTTGCTCTTTCATTGGCTACTCCGAAAACCATCTCAAATGTAATATCTAAGAAATTGGGCTACAAAAATTTTCTTGCCAGTGATCAAATCAAAGGCCATGCACTTCACCAATTTTTTGGTGGACCCTATTGTACCACCGAAGTTCCTCTCAATTGAGATGCAGACCATGTCTTTCATGCTTACAGCATTTGGGAGCAACAACATCGGCTTCTCCTCTCATGGCTACAATCCTCCATTTCCAGTGCAATGCTTACACAAGTTATTGGAGGCACAAATTATTGGCAGTTATGGGACAAGAAAGATCCACAACAACTTCTACTCTCATACTCATGCAAAGTTGTGTCAATTTCAACCAAAACTTGAGCACCATTTCATTGGCATACAATTCTGACTACATTCATGGACTAAACACATGGAGTTGGATCTCTTTTATGTTCACAGGAAAGTTCTCTACAAACAACTTCAAATTCAACATGTTCCTGTTTCTGATCAGTGTGCTGCTCTATTCACCAAGGCTCTTTCTATTTCCAATTTTGAGATTCTTCAGTCCAAGTTCAGTGTGTGTGATCCTTCACACCCCACTTGAGCTTGCAGGAAGTGCTGGAGTATATATATGAGACCAATGTACTGCACCTACTGTCTAGAACCTTCTATTCGCTAACTAACAGTGGTGTATTTGGTTAGATGATAGGTCAACAGTTATAAGATAGTTATAGCATATTAGAATATAAATAGCTACTGTAATGTTCCAGCAAATCACGATCGATTCACATCAATAGATTAGTATTTGTGTTCTCTTTCTTTTTTCTCTGAAAGTTTAACAGAATGACCCAACAAAGGATATATGGTTGGTAGACTTTGATACCATCTTAAAAATCGAGTTTAGAACCTAACTCAACCCTACAAAATCGACTTGTAAGATAGAGACTATCCAAGCTTTAAAAGCTCTACTTAAGTTGTATCTCTAGTAGATATGGATTTAAACCACCACCCTTGAGACTACAATTTAGGCAGCCACTAAGGAGGCCACAACTAAGGCAGGCTAGGAGTGACCACATTTAAGGTGGCTTTCCAACACTCTCCCTCATGCCTAGAGCATGGCAAATGCAAGTGGCCCAACAATGGATCTATGGTATACTCTTATACCATCTTAGAAATTGAGCTTAGGACCTAACTCAACCTCACAAAATGTACTTTTAAGGTGAGGACTGTCCAAGCTTTATAAGCTCTACTTAAGTCACCTCTAGTATATATGGAATTAAACCACCACCCTTGGGGCTACAATTTAGGCAGCACCTAAAGAGGCCATAACTAAGGCAGGCTAGGAGTGACCACAATTAAGGAAGCTTTACAGCACTCCTCACGCCTAGAGCTACCAGCCTGGAGCACACCAAATGCAAGTGCCTTAACAATGAATTTATGATAGACTTTGATATCATCTTATAAATTGGTCTGAAGATCTAACTCAACCCTACAAAATAAGTTTGAAATGTGAGGATTTTCCAAGCTATATAAGCTCTACTTACGACACATTTTTAGTCGATGTGGGAACTAAACCACCACCCTTTGCAATTCAGGCAGCCCCAAAGAGGTAAAAAGAGCATAGATAAAAAAAATAGGTAGACATGAAAAGGAAAATATTTTCCTCAAATAAATAGAGACAAAGTTAAAATATGGAAAGCAAAAGAAAATAAAACACATACAATTTTACATGGATATAGATGGAGAGACCACATAATCAAAGGAGATTCTCTTCAGGTATAAATTTACCAAATCTGACCTAATTAAAGAAATGTTGACCATGGAAACTCAACTGATAATCTTTTCAAGTAAAATAATGTATAGAAAAATCATTTAAGTAAAATTCAAGGGAAAAAAAGAGTACATAAAATAAATAGGTAAACATGAAAATGTCAACATTTTCCTCATACCCCCAATTAACATTTCTTATACTTCTTTTTTAACTCTTTGCAATTTATTTATTATACTTTATGAAAAAATAAAATAAAATGCAGATGCAAAATTCGGATCTTAAATAACTTAATTATATTTTTTTCCTATAAAATCCTCATTAATTAAAATGTACAAACACATTAAATGTTTGCGAATAAATTGAATAAACTCAAACACTGTTGAGATGAGAACACGCTAGCATTGCCTACATTTATTGTTATTTTTTCCGATTTTGTTCTTTTTGTATAAGGAAGGCTTGTCACCTACTCCTTTTTAAGTTCCTGAGTTTGACAAACACTCATCCACAAAAAAGGAGAGAGAAAGTATTCAGATTTGTGGGTTTTTTGCAACTATGGAGAAGAACAACAGCAAAGCCTGCAAAATCTGGATAATTGCTTCTCCAACGGAAAAGCCATGGGAGGACACATGAGATCTCACTTTGCCAAATTGCCAATTCCTCCAAAATCCGAAACCATGGATGAAGTACTAGATAACTCAGCTGAGTTGACCCATTTTCCAATTCAATCCGCTTCCTCACATACTTCTCATCCTCAAAAGAAATCGGCACATAATTATCGATCTTTGAATCCAGGCCTTACCCTAAAAACCCAACCCGCACAAGATCCAAATGCCACCGCAAATATATTGCAGCAGCCGAGATGAAAGCTGAATCAGAACAAGTGAGACCAAAACCAGACTCTATTCCTGCAGAAGAAGCTGCCAGGTCTCTATTAATGTTTTCCAAGGATAAATGGCTAGAAAGTAAAGAGACAAAGAAACGAGAAATGAAGAAAATCAACAAAATAGAGACAAAAGACAGAAAAAATGGTAAGGATGACTTGCTTGTTCAAACTCAATCTCAACCAAGTTCAAATGTGATAGGTGTGAAAAAAAATTTCAATCTCATCAAGCTCTTGGTGAGCACAAAGGAATCCATAAGAAAAATGAGCAAGGTAGTGACTTTGACGGAAAGGACAAAAGGAGTGATGTTGTAGATCAAAAAGTGTTTGAGTGCTCATAGTGTTCCAAAGTGTTCAAGTCTGCTCATGCACTCAGTGGTCACAAGAAGGTACACTTTTCCAATACTAATGTTGTTAATGCTCAAATTATTGCTAATCAATTTAGTGACAAGTTAGTAGTAGATCTCAATTTTCCAAGCCCTACAGAAGATTAAGAAGTTAGCCATATTGAAGAACAAGTATTTTTATGTTTAATTAAGCAATTGAGGAGGTAAAAATTTACAGATTTAATCAGTAATTCAATACACAAGTATACAACGTATTTTTATTTCAGAATGTTAATAATTATTATACATGCTTCAAATCATTTTAAGAATTTGACATTATGGATTTATAGATGTAAGGGAGAACTTTATTTTGATTAACATGAAGTGTTCTTGCCAGTAGTTTAATGCAAATGTCACATACCATTAGTAACTAACTCATATAACAATCAGAAACAAAAATTTTGTATTATATATCAATAGAAGTTTTGATACAAATATATGTTCAAAATTCTTTGATTCTGAGAAGAAAACATTAACATTTAAACTATGAGTTGAACCATAGGAAAGCTATAATACCAAGCACCCCTTTGATAAGTATTATTTAGATTCTTCAAGCTTTCTGCTTTGATAAATTAATCCCTTGTTTCGAAATTAGATAGCTGCCGCTATTTCTGATAGTTTGTTTGAATCCATTGTTAGCAAAAAGACTAGATATAAGAGAGACACCTTAGAAACTATAGATACGACAAAAAGAAACATCAGATCTACCACCAACAGTTTAGATGTGTCACTATGAATTCAAAGAAACAAAAAAGAGAGTTGGGCTTCTGCACAAGTGCGGTACCCCCTATAGGACCCAGGCGACTGAAAAAAGGAGAAGCAGACAAAACTGTGCAGAAACAGGGGGAAAAAGCAAAATCCATGCAATAGAGAAGGCTGTATGGTGTCATGTCGGAAACGGAGTCTATATCTTTAAAAATATAAAACTCAAGTTGTATAAAATATGCATACTCAGCATCTTAACATAGTAAAGTTATGAATATAGACACTGATTTTGTTTATACTCCTCTTCCAAATTTTTTAAGTAACATTTATACTTCATGAGCTACTGAGTGTAAACAATCCATCTAAATACACTAAAACACTTATGATATGAACCAAAATCTCACAACAAGAATTAATGAAGAAAACAACTCAACAATGGAAAATAAGATTTGTATTATTTCTGAAAACAAGAATTACAGTGGAAGAGAAATTTTTACTGCTAGAGATAAGCTCCTTCGGAGAACTCAGTTCTCTGCCCATAACAAACCATTTGGTTCTCCTCAATACCCTCTCCCTTCCCCTCAAAATTCACATATAACAGAATACCATCGCACAAGTCACACACACCCTCAGTTCCTGCCACAACATTCTCCCTTTGGATCCTCCTATTCTTTCTAGCACATAATGGGCTTGGGCAGTTGAGGTGCAAATTGCTCATCTGGACCCAAATCTAGCTCTAAGGTCCTAACAACTTTAAAACACTGTCAAGCTGAAATACCCCAAATAAAGAACTCCACCTCCCCCTCCCCGCATAAGAGGACTTTCAATTCATAAGCCAAGAACAATCTGAACATCTGAAAAATAGTAAACATATGAGTTCTGTGTAAGAACCTGGTTAGAACACAATCAAACTAGAATGACTTGCAGACCTATAGTCAATTAAACTTGGGGGATAAGGACAACTATGACCTATTTGAAGAAAACTTATTAGAATCACCTAAAGCAAGCTTAACTGAAAACAAAAACACTACAGAGTTTTAAATTGGAATAGTGTCCAATCTTATATATTGTAGCCCATGAAATGAGTCAATAATCCTCATATATTCTAACAGGAGCCAAAGTGGGTCGGGGAACAATGGGAAGGATGCAAAGTCCAAAATTAAGGCTAGCAAGACATACAAGTCCTAAGCAGACACTTTGTATGGTAAGTTTTGTCATTGTAAATAGAGTGACTTGTATGTAACATTAAAATTAGGAAAGTTTACAAGTATAAATACCTAGGTAGAAGATGATGTGAATAGGATTTTGCTAGTGGTCATGCATGTGGCAATGGGTTTTTTTTTGTTGTGGAACTGTGAAAAAAATGGTGTGAGGCCATTTCTGCACAAATTTGAGTAGATTTGCACAGAAGTGGCAAGCTTGTTATTGTTGATGACAACATAGTGCAAAAGTCAACACTCATCCAAAGACAACCTTACGGTGCATTGCATTGGGTTTGTTGTCCCTCACAGGTACTAATACGTGACACTATCTTGCCATGAATTTGATTTTCATTTTCCTTCTAAATGATTATCATATTTTCAACCCAAATCAATTATATGCCTCAGATGGAAATACATGGCTAATGTTCACATAATCCATTATGTTACTTGATATAATTAATTATGTCAACTTAATATACATAAAAAAAGCAGTTAGATAAATTTGTAATTTTAAATATAATTTTAATTTCAGTTAGTATTTTAATTTGTTTTAAAGCTAATTGATTAAAAAATTATCTTTCATCCATTTCTTGTAGTTCTTTTTCATAAAACCATCTTAATTTTCATTTCACTATATTTTTTTCTCTTTACTTATATTTTTTTTCTTTTTTAAGAATTCTCATCTATTTCTTTTTCCTCCCTAGTTCTATCTTCCCCGGCAAAAGGGGCTTAAGTGTGCTTTTAAAAATGTCATTATGCAAATCTAATATAATAGTCGCATGAGATTTAAAAAATACCCGAATTTGAAAAAAAAAAACTTGTAATCGTTTCTATACTGGCAGTGTTTTAAGTTGTCAGGAACTTAGAGCTAAATTTGGGTCCACATGAGCAATTTGCACCTCAACTGCCCAAGACCATTATGTGCTATAAAGAATAGGAGGGTCCTAGGTGGGAATGCTGAGTGGCAGGAAGTGAGGGGGTGTGTGGCTTGTGTGATGAGATTCTGTTATATGGAAAATTTGAGGGGAAGAGAGAGTTTATTGTGTAGAATCAAATTGTTATCAAAGTAGAAAGGTTGAAGAATCTGAATAATACTTAGCAAGGGGTGGCTTGGCAATTTAGCTTTCCTATGGTTCAACTTATAGTTTAAATCTTAAAGTTTTCTTCTTAGAATCAAAGAATTTTGAACATATATTTTTTTATCAAAATCATATAAGGAGACAATGTCTGCTCTTGTATTTGTTTCTAATTTATGGTATGTGTTATTCACAGTTTTATTAAACATGCAAATCCATTAGGCTAAGCCAAATCTTGTGGAGTGACATTTGCATTATTCACAGCATAAGTCTTATAAGATTATGTATTGATCATATGTAAAATCTATCTCAGGCTTTCTACTTTTTCAATAACTTTGCCAAAATGTAAAGTTGGAGCTGATGAAATATGAATCATGCCCCCACATGCCCAAACAAAGAATACATATATATTTTGCTGCTTATTGAGACATGGAGAAATAGTTGAGCTAAACAATAAGAATTAACAAACTAAGAAGATAGAAATGATTGGCAAGAACACTTGATGATAATCAAAATAAAGTGCTACCTTATAAACCATAATGTCAAATTCTTAAAATGATTTAAAACATATATAATATATAATTCTTAACATTTTGATATAAAAATACAGTGTGTACATTCAGTCCGTAAAGTTTTACCTCGATTGTTTAACTAAGGATAAAAGTCTTTATTCTTCAACATGGCTAACTTCTTAATCTTCTATAGGAGCTGGAAAATTGAGATTTATTACCAACTTCCTACCAAATTGATTAGCACTACTTTGAGCATTAGCCTTATTATATGAAAAGTGTACCTTCTTGTGTCCACCGAGTGGACGAACAGACTTAAATACTTTTGAGCAGTATGGATACTCGAACACTTTCTCACCCACATCATCACTTTTTTTGCCACGTCATTTTTCTTATGGTTTGCTTTGTGCCCACCAAGAGCCTGATGAGACTGAAATATTTTTCCATATTTATCACACTTGAAGTTGGCTTGAGATGGAATTTGAACAAGCAAGTCATCTCTACCATCTTTGTCTTTTGCCCTCATTTCCTTCACTTCTTGATTCTTGATCTCCTTGCTTTCTGGCCATTTGTTCTTGGAAAGCATTAATAGAGACCTAGCAGCTTCTTCTGCAGGAAGAGAGTTTGGTTTTGGAGTCACTTCTTCTAAATCAGCTTTCATCTTTGTCGCGGCAATAAATTTGCTGTGGCATTTTTTTGCGAGTTGGGTTTTTAGGGTAAGGCCTAAATTCATTTTCTCTATTTGTGTTTGTTGAGAAGGAAAAAAGGCTACGCTTCAAAGATGGAAAGATGGAAAATTTTGTGCTGATTTCTTTTGAGATTGAGAAGTCTATGAGGAAGCAGATTGATTTGGACGACAGGTCAACTCGGCTGAGTTATCTAGTGCTTGATTCTTGGTTTCAGGCTTTGGAGGAATTGGTAATTTGGCAAAGTGAGGTCTCATGTGTCCTCCCATGACTTTTCCATTGGAGAAGCACTTATCGCAGATTTTGCAGACTTTGCTGTTGTTCTTCCGGAGAGGAGAAAGTTCCAATCAGAGGTTGCGAGGGAACAGAGGAGACGGACGACGGAGTTGGTGTTGCGCTGAGTTTGGAAATCGGGCGATTGCGGCGAGGATTTTGAGAAGAAACTCGTCGGAGAGGAGGAGGGTTCCGTCAGTGATGGTGAGAAGAGAATGAAGTTGGATTAGGAGAGTGTAACTTCGTCGCCATTACCGTTTCGTTTGGGTTAGGGGTTTTGATTTTAAACACAACTCAGACCATAGGAGTGAGACTAAGGTTGAGGTTGGGATTAGGGTTAGGGTTATGATTTGTACCTGTTTGTGTTAATAACTGAATGGGTGAATTGAAGTGTTTAGTTATGAGAGGGTGACGATGACAATGGACATGTTTGTTGAATGATGAATGTCTCTTTCTCTCTTTTGGTGGAACTCAGAATTTGAATACCGGGTGATCTTAGGATGCGTTTTCGTATCTTGTAGATGCTTTGAACAAAACGCGATTTGGATGGGAGAGAGATATCTTAGATATTTTCTTTTGATGTATAAAAAGGGAAATGTTATAGTGAAATCAGTGTTTTGGGCTGTGATTTGTGATTTGGAAAAGTAATCGTCCCGAGAAATTAGTGAAAACATCACTAAATTTGGTATATGGTAATTATCAGGTCTTTTAAAAAGAATAATATATTCATAAATAATATAAAGCAACAATTTCTTCTCTGCAAATTCTTTATAAAAAAAACTTCTATAACTTTTACTATAAAATTAAAATTATATTAATTATATAATAATACATTAATAAATAAAACAATATAAGATATCATAAAATATTAATTATAAAAATAATAATAATTACATTAAAAGTTTGTGTAAATATATATTTACATTAGTTGTTAATATCTTTTAGCCGAAAAAATTATGTTAGGGAAAATTTTAAAATATAAATAATTTAATTCATGAATTTTTTTAATAAAATTCAAATTATATTAATTATATAATAACCTAATACAGAAAATTTTATCAATACATAAAGTATACATCTAGAATTATTAATAATTAATTTATAAATAATAAATCACTCTATAAAAAATTTAAAAGAAACAATTTCTTTCTTTAAAAACTTTCTTCCAAAATTTTCTTAAAAAAAACTCTTATAACTCGAGTATTCACATGACTTTACAATACAATTAAAATTATATTAATTATATAATAACATGTTAATAAATAAATACTGTAATAGTAACACAAAAACATTAATTATAAAATAATTAATTATTAGATTAAGAATTTGTATAAATATATTTATATTAGTTGTTAATATATTTTAACCAAAAATTCATATTATAGACAATTTTAAAAAATAAATTATTTGATCCATGATTTTTTTAAATAAAAATAAATTAAAATTATATTAGTTATATAATAATACGTTAATAAAAAAAATATTGATATCATGAAGTATAAATTTAAAATTATCAATAATCATGTTTATTATTAATTTATAAATAATAAATCATGTTAAAAAATATTAATATTTTTAATGTACATATTTTGACATAATATTAATATAGAAAATGCAGTAACTCAATTGGAAATAGTTACACAATCGTATAAACTGTAACCGCAAAATAATATTAATATAAAAATGCTAACAGCATCATAAAACATTAATGAAATTATTTTAAATTATTACAGTTTTAAAGTTAAAAATTATAAAATTCGCTTAAATTTAATTATTAAAAATATTTATTATTATGTTAAAAATTGACATAATATTAAAATATAACACATTAATAAAATCATATTAAAAAACTTTTCAGAGAACAAAATATATATGTATTATCTATAGAACTTTATAAAATAGTATTCAAAAAAAAATCTCTAACAAATTTTCATATACAAATTTTATTTATTACATAATATAATAACACATTAGACTACATAAAACTTTAATTACATTAATTTTAAATTATTTATGATCTTAAATTTAACAATTATAATTTTATCTACTTTTTTTCATTAATTTCGTCATTATTTATTTAGAATATTTCAAATATAATATAAGAAATATTTTTAAAAAGATGGATAAAATTACTTTTTGTGCAGTGTAGTACATTTCTCCCTCTTAAAGATAATTTATATAT